TCATCATTGATAATAATAATAATTGTTTCTTGAGCAGCAAATCAGCATATTATAATGATTTCTGAAGGATCATGTGACACTGAAGACTGGAGTAATGATGCTGAAAATTCAGCTTTACATCACAGAAATAAATGACATTTTAAATATATATTCAAATGGAAAACAGTTATTTGAAATTGTAATAATATTTCACAATATTACTGATTTTACTGCATTTTTCATGAAATAACTGCAGCCTTGGTGAGCATAAGAGCATCATAAAAGCATCATAAATGTAGTCTATATAACAAAACCAACAACATTCTGGATATTTCTTGTGAACTATCACTTAAAGTAGCCTAATTTGGCAAACAATAATTAGGCTAAATGGCAAAAAACACAACAGAGTCGTCTCTTTTACTTTCATACAATTATATGCATGTATAAACAACTTTTCACTTAAACAATGTTTTCACTTGCTGTTACTGCCTTATTGTTCAAATGAAACATTAAAATTGAGTAAAACTGTACTTTCTCTAAGGATCTTAAGCTCCCTATAAAATCTTGTCACATGTTGAGCATGTGCACTGGCTGCATGAGGCCTTCTAACACTAAAACTAAAGCCAAAGATGTCAATGAAAGTGGATTTTATTCCATGATCTTCAATAACAAGACAAGCCAGACTACACAGCAGGCCCAAATCTCCCAAACTACTTTGCGGTTTCATTTATAATAATTTCTCCAGTTCAAATGCGTGTCTGGATGAAACCCTAAAACAACACCATAAAACAGACCTTACATGGCAGATCTATGCTCGCCATTCATTTTACCGCTCAATTTAATGGTTTTATACCAAACGGCACTCAGCACAGCTCTATGTCCATTAGTAAGAACACCAAATCCCATCCCACTTGTCCCATGAGAGACACAAATCAATATTGCTATGGACTGTATGGAACCCCTTTCCTTCCCCTCCATTAACATTACTTTAATCTGCACAGAATCAGAGCTTAATATTTCACACCAACTACATAGACCTACTAAAACATTAACTTCAATGCCACCACCTTCAATTATGCAAGAAGCTTTTAAGGATTTAAGAACAATTGTGAATAATACGTCAAAATGATTTTCGTTCACATGGATCCACGAAAACGCCTTAAAACGCTGTATTATGCATGCCAGACCAGTAGTTGGCCATGTCTCAGTTAACACTGAGACGATAACAGTATCATTTTCAAAACTTTTGAAACCCGTTTTAAAAAGTTTACGTTTTCAGGCCCCCAAAACATTGTTGGTGCTTAAAAGTATTGCGAAAATGCATAAAAAGTTTTTTTTTTCTTTTTTAGTTGAAGTTTAGTTTAGTCTCACCTTAAATTTACAAGAATAAACTTTTAACTAAAAACAGAAAACTTTATGCGTTTTGACCATTCGTTTACATGACAATGGCATTTTGGAGGCATGAAAATGTAAACTTTTAAAAAACCACCATTATCGTCTCTGTGTAAACAACAAAAACGTTTTCACAGATCCATGTGAACAGGGATCATTTTGGCGGCATTTTAGACTATACGCAAAAAAAGCAAAGGAAAAACTTTTCTGTTTTTAGCACATTGTTTTTGTGTAAATGTACCCAAAATGTACAAATAAAATCTAAGATTCAAAATATCAACAAAACTATAATAGTATAATGATTAGTGCTATCAAACGATTAATCGCGATTAATCGCATCCAAAATAAAAGTTTTTGTTTACATAATATATGTGTGTGTGTGTACTGTGTTTATTTATTATGTATACAGGTGCATCTCAATAAATTAGAATGTCGTGGAAAAGTTCATTTATTTCAGTAATTCAACTCAAATTGTGAAACTCGTGTATTAAATAAATTCAATGCACACAGACTGAAGTAGTTTAAGTCTTTGGTTCTTTTAATTGTGATGATTTTGGCTCACATTTAACAAAAACCCACCAATTCACAACAAATACAAATTAGAATACTCCATAAGACCAATAAAAAAAAACATTTTTAATGAATTGTTGGCTGAATTTATTACACGAGTTTCACAATTTGAGTTGAATTACTGAAATAAATGAACTTTTCCACGACATTCTAATTGATTGAGATGCACCTGTATATAAATACACACACAGAGTATATATTTTGAAAATATTTACATGTATATATATTTATATTCATATAATATTATATATAAATATATTTAATATATAAATGAGGAGGAACCAATGCATATGTGAGAGACGTTTTCTCTCAGTGAGATGCGGAAACAGATGTCTGTATGTTAATGCACAGTGTGTATTGTCTGTCTCAGAAGATCAAAGTATCTGAGTTTCTTTTATCCTTACATATATATATGCATGTGTGTGTATTTATATATACATAATAAATACACAGCACACACACATATATTATGTAAACAAAATCTTTTATTTTGGATGCGATTAATCGCGATTAATCTTTTGACAGCACTAATAATGATATTATTAAAATAACACTGTTCTGCTTTAAACCTTATAGGAATATCTTGCCTCATAGAATCCCATTGTAAGTGCTTCACAGCATGCATATTTTTGACACTGAACATTGAAATGATCAGATTTAGAATATCAGATGTCTCAACAACCTACATGACCAATATTCCCCTCAGCTGTTTTGAATGTCCTCATCAGGCGTGCTATAGACCAGTGATCTGTGACACCTGACTTCATCACTTACACCAGAGGGCCAAATGGTGTTTTTGAGGGCCAGGGTCTCTGGTTACCATGGCACTGATCTGTCTATTGATCGTCTGGCAGATGTCCACAACTGTGCTCCAGTTGAATGGAATTAAACAGCACACAGTTTGCTTTCATTCATTGCAGACTGATTCAAAGATGACGATTACACAGTACATTTCATAAAATGAATAACATCCAAAGAATGCAATTAAATAACGTGTTGTTTAATCCATGCATGGATGAGGTTTATCATACAACAACAAATACATGAAAACGGAAAACGAGCTTTCTTCCTAACAAAAAATGTATCATGGTACAGTATCAGATAATACTATGAAGTGTACCATGGTATTTAAATTGTATTCCAAAGAACAATACCGTGGAAGAATACCGAGGTAGAGCCATTGTAAATGTACCGAGAATTGTACAACGGTACTTTTTTGCAACTGTTCAGTTCTCAACCTAAATCTGGACTGAATTCGAATCTTCACTCTTTGGCGTTCTAAACTATTTTAAAGAACAACAACGTCATAATCGCGATGGCTTGATGAACAAAATGTTAACAGTGCATGTCTTGCAGCATGACCCAAAGTTATAAAGCTTGTCCCATCCGGAGACAGAGAAAGAAAGGTGTATATGGGGGTCAAAATGACTCTCAAAAGCAAAGACTCAATTGGATGAAGTTCTTACCTTCACACGGATTCTCGGTGCTTTATCTTGTGCTCCGGTAAAGCCACCGGGACTTCCTCCTCGCTTGGAAACGCGTATGTAACAAACTCGTTCGGTGTCCGTCTGTCTGTGTGTGTTTGTGTGAGACCGTGAGTGAATGCATGTGTGTGTGTGTGTGTGTGTGTGTGTGTGCGGGCGTGAGTGACGGAGCTCCCCAGTGTTGCCAACTGATTTTCAGGGGAAGCCGGATCTGAAGTGTTTACACAGCAGCTTCCAGCTCCGTCCCGAACAGCAGTTCTTTTTCTTCCTCTTTACACGCTTTTCTGCAAACATGGGCAAAATTTATCTAATATCAGAAATGCCTTTTTTTAAATTTCAATTCGATTACTGAATTTGAAATTAATTTAAACTGAGCTAACAAACAGGATACAGAATTGCAAATCAAATTTGAATGTAGGAATTAAATAAAATACCATATCTGATTTTTATTTTAAAGTTTGAAACGTCTTTAAGTTTGAAGGTTTTATACGTGTTGCAGACAGACTTGTAATAAAATTAAATTAATAAATTTTCCACACATGGACTTCATTTCCCAGAATGCCCTTATATCCTGTGAGTTGTGTACAATTCAGTTCAAATTCCAACTTATGAAATGAAAATCTACTTTCATTGATTTCGTCTGTTAATGGCACCGAGTAGGTCACAATTACGCACAAAAAGTATTTAACATTTTGTGAACGGTATTATCGCAGCAGAATTAATACATTCATTAGAATAGCTACTCCATCTCTTCCTTTTATTTATATCTCACTGAAGCCTGGGCAGCATTCAGGTTTGTTTGTAACTTTGGTAAGAAAGAAGTAAATGCAAATAAAAACCATTCACAATCCTTGTTACTAGATATCTTGTAACAACTCTTTCAGAGCAGGCTACTTAGAGTAAACTGTATTTATTTTTTAATTGAAACTCAACATACATAGGTGTTTGATATTTCTTTAACTGAATAAATGCTTATTCAGGGTCAATAAAAAAAACTGTCAGTTTGCAATGGACACAAACACACACAAATAACGTTTGCATTCTTATAATTAAAAGGGAAAAAAAAGTAACTCAACAGATCTTCATAGCAAAGGCTTGAATATGCACAACAACAACAACATCACATTTGTATGTCACTCAATCTTCAACAGCACCATCCTCCATGTCCAGTAATAAAAGGAAGTTTACTTTGCTGTTCAAACATCATGTTTACAAAGAAGATCAAAGGTTCAGTTACTATTCATTGCTTTTCCATAGAGTTTAATTGCCATTTTAGTGTCATTCATTCTATAGGAAATGTAAACAGCATTTTATGATTGACAATTCTAAAATTGGTCCTCTCATTTCCATAAGCCTTTCCACAAACAGCCCTCTAGTGGGAAAACATATGTATTGTTCACATTGTGAAGCATTAAGGCAAAAGCAGATAAGAATTATACTTCACCAACAAATTAGAACACATTGTTTAAACAATCAAACAGCTATATTATCACTAATGCATGTTTAAACAGACAGTCTGTTTATTATAAACAAAAGATTCAATGCAATTACCCACTCTGAAGCATTTTAAAGTAGGGAGAAATACTGTTAACATCCATAATAATATCATTTAATATGGCTGGAAATGTTTACATAATAAAAAAAACTCCAGACATAAAAATATGCGTTTTATACATTGTCTGAGAACGATTCACAAGAATTATTCCTTATATAGAAAGATTTCAAAGGAAAGTCATGGACAAATTGGGCTGAAATGGACTGAAACCCAGTCACAAATAAAACGGACTAAATTGAGATCCGAGTCCACTTTTATGGACAGTGTGAATACAAAATCAACTTTTCACTTTTGGCTCACTTCAACGGTTCTGAATTTGGTTCTTTTAACCTTAAAGAACACTAAAACCTCTTGTTGTATAAAAACTAGAAGCATTATTGTTATACAAAACATTCTGACAGAAAAAGAGAACATACACTGACTGGACTCTTTCTCATAAACGCACAACACACTCATATAGTTCCCAAATGGAGGGCCAGGTAAATGAGATTGATGGTAGTGGAGAAAAAGCCTATAAGGTTGCAGAGGTTGGACAGACCATGGTAGCGGTAGAAGGTGGTCCTGTGCTCCTTGTATTTTGGGTCCTGTTCACGGAGTTTGGCGTATCCTTCCTTATTGGAGCTCATACCCACCTGATTCCCCAGACCGTGTTCCTTCTCGATCTCCTGCATGACCAGCATGCACTCTGTGGCAGATGGACAAAACCACTGCGCGTTCAGACCGGCCATGATCACGGCCACAAAGAACAGAGTCATCTGCTCAGAAAAAAATAAAAACAGAGCGTGAGAGAGGCGTGAAACGAAATGAAGAATGAGAAACAAAAATTTGCTGAAAGTTTACTCAGCCTCAGTCCATCCAAGATGTAGATGAGTTTGTTTCTTCATCAGAACAGATTTGGAGAAATATAGCATTACATCACTTGCTCAGCAATGGTTCCTCTGCAGTGAATGGGTGCCGTCAGAATGACAGCTGATAAAAACATCACAATAATCCACATGACTCCAGTGCATCATTAAACATCTTGTGAAGTTAAAGGCTGTGTATTTGTTAGAAACAAATCCATCATTAAGGGGTTTTTAATGTTAAACCATTGCTTCCAAATAAAATATGAGACCTCCATCCACATTATTGCTTTCTCTGGTGAAAAAGTCGCCTCATCTGAATTGAGAGAGAAATATGCACAGATCAAGCACTGTTTACAAGTGAAAACAGTCCAGAACAGTTCTAAACAAATGTGTTGGTGGATTTTGATGTAAAGAGGACAACAGGGGATGGACTTTTTCACTGGAGGAAGCATCGTTATTATGGGTTACAGACACATATTTGAGCCAGAACCGATAAAGTTTAAATGTGTTAATGATGGATTTGTTTCTTACAATACACAGCTGTTTGGTTCACAAGATGTTGACTGATGGACTGGAGTGGTGTGGATTATTGTGATGTTTTTATCAGCTGTTTGGACTCTCATTCTGACGGCACCCATTCACTACAGAGGATCTATTGGTGAGCAAGTGGTGTAATGCAAATGTCTCCAAATCTTTTCCCATGAAGAAACAAACCGCATTTACGTCTTGGATGGCCCGAGTGCACATTTTCAGCAAATATTCATTTTTGGGTGAACTACTCGTTTAATGAATCATGCAGAAGGCAAACATTTTGATTGGTCACCTGTATGCCCTCATGCCAGTCCAGCAGTTCTCTAGGGTGGTACACAGCATATATGGCCAGATTGACTGCATCAGCACCCAGCAGACAGTAGAAATAAAATGGGAATAACTTGCTTTGCACAAGGCCGAATGTGTGCATGGATACCTGGGAAATCAGCACAAAACCTGAAAATATAAAGAGGAATTAGAAGTATATGGAATGTTATATGATGACATAATTATCATAACACCATATTAATTTACCTGCTATGAAAGACACCCACACCTGCATTCCCCATGTGAAGGAAATGACCAGAAGGTGAAGCACTTTCACAAAGTCAGTTGGGTCTCCCTCTGTAGCCATAATTAACTTCTGAAAAGTGAATAATATTAATAAAAAAGTAATAAATAAATCAACATATTTTAAAAAAGAAGAGATCACAAAAAAATCTGCATCAGAATAAAGAGTCACAGTATCAGCTAAATCTAAAACTTTAACGTTAATGCATAGCATTTCACAAATAATAACATGCATTATGCCATTATGCGTGCAAATGCATTTAAAGCGTGTCAGTACAGATAAGAGTTTTGTGTATGGTCTGATTGTCGAGAACAACATACTATTGCAAAACAGAGGCTGTAGTTCTTGCGCCTAAAAACCTTACCGATGATCCTGATCGGTTATGCTTTTGGATCTGCTAATATAATTTGCATCAGTTTACTTTTTGTCCCGTTAATAAGAAATGACAACAGCACGTTTCAAGGCTTCCGTGATAGTCGTTCACGCAATTTCTGTTACTTACGCAAGCAATCACACTGAAGCGATTTCCTTCTCAGAGTGAATTCTGCCGGTCTATAGTAAACACGTACCCGAGTTTATAAGTCTCTTTATGCAGTTCTTTCTACGATCACTTTCGAAAAAAACTGGTGCTTATCTTCTGCACAAAATTTCTGTTGCTCCTGTAGTTGCTCGATATCACACTGTGTTAGTCCCGCCCCCGTGATCACACCACCCAATCACACTCGATTATTCAAATGCATGGACGTCTGTCATCCAATCACGATGCAAGGAGCTGCTTGTCTTTCTAATGTCCATCCAAAATTGTCACTAATTAACTCTAGCAAATAAGTAACGTTAAACCAGTACTACATATATCTTTTATAACACTGAATCTGTTATAACACCCAATCTATTTAGTATTTTGTATATACTAGGATAGTATTAATTAATATTATGAATCCGCTTTTATTTTTTATATTTTAAGTTTTCATTTTAAAGTTTTAGTAATTTTGTATTTTGATATGTGCTTTTGCCATTTTTATTAGTTTTTAAAAATGTTTTATTTAGTTTATTTCAATTTTGGTAATTTCTTTTAGTACTTGAACTTAAACTTATTTAAGTTAGTTGCCAAGGAAAATGTATACACACACACACACACACACAGAACATTTTTGTTAATGTGTCGAGATTTGAACGGAGTTTAGTGCTCCTAACATCAAATTCATAATATAAAATGCAGTACAAAACAAACAAACAAAAAAACATTAAATACAACACAGTATTAAAATGCAGTACAGCGCAATATGTACATAACGTTAACATAAGTTATTTGGTTTGCTTGTTTATGGGCGTATAATAAGTGCTTCTGACAACGATCTAGACTTATTTATTTTCTTAAAACAGTTAAATTATAGTTTGTTCATACTCACCCAATGAAATTATTAGATATTGCAGTTCTGATGTTTAACGGTAGGGGTCAGAGCTGATCCTCATTTAAACCAAAGGAACTTAGGCTATTTTAAACCAAGCGTTTATAAGAGCATAAAAAGGATAACTGTTTGAAATAAAACTATGCGCACAGAATGCACACAATGAAATTCACTGAAATTGTACGTTGTTTTCGCTCACCAAACAAACTCTTGTAGTTCTGGTGTTTACCATTAGAGGGCGCTCCGCTTTTAAACTGCAGGGACATTTGACCGAGCGGAAGTAAATCTTCTGTTTATTCTTTGCAGGCGCTGGGTGCTCGTTTTCCTCGAGAGTCGCCTCACATTAATCGCAGTTTGGTAAGAGATTTGTTTTCTCCAGAAAGCATAATGTCGTTCTTAAATGTTTAAATGCTTGTATATTTATCGTGAGTGTTTTGACCATATGGTTTACATTGTATTTTCATTTTACTGATTGTGTTTATTTGATTTTCTGTGTTTATGTTGCCTCTAAGATCACCTCTAAATATCCTAATGTTTAAACTAAATAAAAATAAACATTAGAAACATGCCAGCTAGATATACACCAGTTTAAATATAAATTTGTATTATTGTATACATTTGTATTATTGTCGTTTCAGTTTTAAGACAAAATGCACAATCAACGCGGTTTAATCTGTCGTTAGAAAGAATGTCCATTAATTTTAGATGCTAAATGTTATTACATAAAGGTCTGTGTGTTTATGTTGCAAACCTCATGGGTGCAAAAGCCTGTTGCTTTTGTATATTTGATTCAGTTAATGTTCAAAGATTGCTTTAAAGTATATTTCATCTAATTTTCCTCCATGAAGCAAAAGATGGGACGCAGAAAGTCGAAGAGAAAACCCCCTCCCAAGAAAAAGATGACAGGAAATCTGGACACCCAGTTTACCTGCCCCTTCTGTAACCACGAGAAATCATGTGACGTCAAGATGTAAGAAGTAATAAAACTCCTTAAGTGTTACTTAAAGATCTAACAAAACTATCACTAATGCACAAAAATTCTACTTTATTCCAGGGAACGAAGTCGAAATACTGGGATAATATCCTGTACTGTGTGTCTAGAGGAATTCCAGACACCAATAACTTGTATCCTTCTCGAAATTTGATACATTTATACGATATGAGTATCTGTATTTATTGCATGATGTATATTATTAAAGGAATAGTCCATCCAAAAATACAAATTTGCTGAGTTTACTCACCCTCAGGCCATCCAAGATGTAGATGAGTTTGTTTCTTCATGGGAACAGATTTGGAGAAATTTAGGATTACATTACTTGCTCACTCTTCTGCAGTGAATGGGTGCCGTCAGAATGAGAGTCCAAACAGCTGATAAAAACATCACAATCCACACAACTCCAGTCCTTCAGTTAATGTCTTGAGAAGTGGAAAGCTGCATGTTTGTTAGAAACAACGTTTCTTAGTTAACATTTCTCAGTTAATATTTTCAGCAAATTTTGGGGTGAATTATTGGTTTAATGTGATGTCGGTCTTGTCCTTAATCACTCTCTCAGATCTCTCGGAGCCGGTGGACGTGTACAGTGATTGGATAGATGCTTGTGAAGCAGCCAATCAGTAGTTTTGCTGGGTCAAATGTCACAGATGACCAAATACACTTGAAGACTTTTGTTTGTTTTAAACTCCTGTACTGAGAAATTTAGGATTACATTACTTGCTCACTCTTCTGCAGTGAATGGGTGCCGTCAGAATGAGAGTCCAAACAGCTGATAAAAACATCACAATCCACACAACTCCAGTCCTTCAGTTAATGTCTTGAGAAGTGGAAAGCTGCATGTTTGTTAGAAACAACGTTTCTTAGTTAACATTTCTCAGTTAATATTTTCAGCAAATTTTGGGGTGAATTATTGGTTTAATGTGATGTCGGTCTTGTCCTTAATCACTCTCTCAGATCTCTCGGAGCCGGTGGACGTGTACAGTGATTGGATAGATGCTTGTGAAGCAGCCAATCAGTAGTTTTGCTGGGTCAAATGTCACAGATGACCAAATACACTTGAAGACTTTTGTTTGTTTTAAACTCCTGTACTGATTCACTGTTCAGTCTTGTATTGAAGCTGAAAGAATGATCGAATAAAGCCACAGATGGAGGTTCGGGCAACACAGAGATGATGATGATTTAAAATTCAGCCTTTTCCCTTTTGTTTATCGTTACAGAAATGCTGAGAAAATGCCACGAACATCATTCATTTCAAAATAGCGGTGTTTTGTTGTTGTTTTCATTTGTTTCTAATCTTTTAGTTTGTCTTGTTTATTTTACAATTTAGGTTTTTATAAGACCATGTAGTGTCAATAAAACATCTGCATGTTCTCTCTTGTGGAAATCTGTGGTCCGTTTCTGTTGTGGAATCAGTTAAAATGTAAATGTTAATAACAAAATATTCAGTTTTTAACCAGTACTGACAAGTCATTTGAAAATAGTGATTTATTAGTTTTTCACTTGCTCAGCCTTTGTTGGTAAGCCTTATAAATAAAGACATTAGAAGCATTAATGCAAGAGGGACACGTTGCATCACCTTCTGTGAGAAACGAAAGTATTTCACCGTTTTATGTTCTTGTGTTCAGCTGTTTCCAGCGGTAATGCAAAACAATGTCAATCCTTACTCAGTTTTTAACCAGTACTGACAAGTAAAGACAAGTCATTTGAAAATAGTGATTTATTAGTTTTTCACTTGCTCAGCCTTTGTTGGTAAGCCTTATAAATAAAGACATTAGAAGCATTAATGCAAGAGGGACACGTTGCATCACCTTCTGTGAGAAACGAAAGTATTTCACCGTTTTATGTTCTTGTGTTCAGCTGTTTCCAGCGGTAATGCAAAACAATGACAATCCTTAACACACTGATATAGAAATGAAATATGACTAATATCTTCAACAACTGATTTACATGAGGGTGAGATCTAGTCATGTCCAAACGTTTTTTTTTTTAAATAGCTAAATATATTAACTATGCACATTAAAACTTATATGTGGACTCACAACCATCCTAAATAGTGAGCAGGTCTTGCCTGTTGTATTTTTGCATAATTTCACTTTCATAATTGAGTATCAGGTTTGGCAGGCTAAAAGCGGTAACACTCGCGCATATATGCAAGTTTACGAAATAATTTCTATATAGCTATTGGGAGCGAGTCATTTTTCAAAAAAAAAGAAAAACAAAAGGTGCCATTACAATTTAAGTCATGCAGTTTTGGTTCACATGATTTTTCACAGTATTGAAAAAAAAAACGAACAGTAGCTTGTTCTCCATTTGTCCGTCTACACTCTAATAAAAGGATAAACTGAATAAAAAAAAAAGTCATTTTACTAGTTTAATAATTAAAATGTCTTTCAATAATTATAATCCATTAAAATAATGTAGATAAACTGCTTTGTGGGCAATCTCTAGTAGCTTGATGCAATACTATTCCGCACTACAAAAGACATGTACTTCTAACTTCATTCACCGAGACCTTTTAGATTTCAGCTTCCTCTCCCTTTCGTTTTAGTTTTCTCGTTTTCTTAGTAATGACTCCACATGCAGGTTTTCTGATGAATGAAGAAGCTTACTGTGTTTACCCCAGCAGGACATGATAAACGTGCTCCTGGATCAACATCCTCCGAAAGCGTTCCTGTCACTGAATCAGCTTTTAGGGCAAGACACTCAAACTCAATTTCAAGTTCTTGCAACTCTATTTAACACGTCTGAATGAGCAAATCAGAATTACTTGAGAAGTACAAGCAGGTGTGCTGGAGCAGGGTTTACACCCTTTCAAACAATTACGCAACATCGACATTATTATTTGACAGTATTTCAATGTTTTGAAGCTTATAGCTGAATGACAGCATCTATAAAAAAAAAATCCAGACAATCTCTTAGACGCAGTAGTGGAGTTCACTTGGGATTCTTCGGGAAATTGGCAGTAGTGGGGCGTCTTTGGTGGATTTCCTCTTCCTCCATCCAATCAAAAGAGCATCATGAAACCTATTAAAAGCTGCTGGTTTGACCAAATCCACTGAAAATCCACTATGGGGCAGAAGTTTGGAATAACTGAGATATTTTTAAACTTTTTTTTTTTGTAGGAAGTCTCTTGCTTATCAAGGCTGCATTTATTTGATCAAAAAATACTGTAAACAGTAATATTGTAACATATTATTACAATTGCAAATCTCTGTTTTCTATTGTTATATATTTTAAAATGTAATGTGATCCACGATGAATTTTCAGCATCATTACTCCGGTCTTCAGTGTCACATGATCTTTCAGAAATCATTCTAATATGCTGATTTGCTGCTCAGGAAACATTTCTTATTCTTATCAATGTTGAGTTTTTGGTGTTTTTTTAATAAAAAAATTTTTTTTAAAAAACAATACACTACCATTCAAAAATATAGGGTACGATTTTTAAAGAAATACTTTTTTTTCCCAGAAAGGATCCGTTAAACTGATCAAAAGTGACAGTAAATACATTTATAATGCTCAAATAAATGTATCACAGTTTCCACAAAAATATTAAGCAGCAAAAACATGATAATAATAAGAACCATTAAAAACAATTGAGCACCAGTAATAACGAAGCAGCAGATCAGGATGATTTCTGAAGGATCATGTGACACTGAAGACTGGAGTAATGATGCTGAAAATACAGCTCTGATCACAGGAATACATTACATTTCACAATATATTCAAACAGAAAACAGTTCTTTTGAATTGTAATAATATTTCATTGTTTTACTGTATGTTTAATCAAATAAATGCAGTTTTGGTGAGCATAAGATAGTTCATTTAAAAACATTAAGAAATCTAAATGATTCTAAACTAGTAGTGTATATGTACTGTAACTATGAGGCATCATAAATATAATACCTCCACATTTATCATCATATAAGAAAATTGGGCCATGCAGGAGATGGGAAAATGACACGCTCAAAAATATCAATAGAATCAAATAAAACTGAAATAATAATAATAAAAAACTACATAAGTGAGAAGCATGTAAAGCCTGTGTGTATAAGACATTTTAAAGACATTCCTCCTAAGTTTGTTTTCTACGAACGGTCAGTCACTGAGGTTCTCAGCTTTGATCAGTGGCTGTGATGTCAGGAAACAGTTGAAGCTGGTCCTACTGGTCGACATGACTTTGGAATTTAAAAATAGTGCAGGTGAGTTTAAAAAAAAGCAGTGTGCTGGCAGCTGTCTGTTCATCCTAGTCAGAATCCTGATATCCATCCATCTCTGAGTCCTGGCCGTTGTTGATGTAGTCATTAGGGCTGGAGCAGTACTTGCTGTCGTACACCTGACGCGGCAGACCGTACACCGTCATGCCGGTCTGGGACGCCACTTTATTGGTGCCCATCTGCAGCGAGACGATAGAGGTGTCGCACATCTCCATGTCCAGCTTCTTATCGAAGATCTGGCGCTTGGTGCCGGGGGCCGTCATGCCGGACTGCGGAGGAGGAAAAGGGAAAGACATATGAACAGTACTAGGAATTGTAAAACATTCAAGTCCCCATGAAATCAAGTTTTTTGGGTGTTTGTTGGTATCAATATGTTAGTCTTAAGGTTATCTATAAGGCAGTGTGCTCCAAAACAGTGACAAAATTCGCATTTAGAAGATATAAGCATTCAAAGCTTTCAGTTCGTCACTTCCGCCAAAACGGCTCAACGATTTTTTTGACGTCACATCGTACTTCAGCTTCTCATCAAACTTTCTGTCCAATCAAATGCTCTCTAGAAGCCCCCTACACTATAAAATAGACGCTGAAGCCACGG